ATATATATATATATATACACACACACACACACACACATATATACTTATATATAAATATATATATACTTGTATATAAATATATATATATATTTATACTTCCCAAGGAAATATGAAGATATACTATATCTATATGTAGATATATATATATATAATCTATATGTAGGTTCTGTTTCTCTGAAGAACCTGACTAATGCACTTATGATGCAATTGCCATTCTTATGTAGAGCTTTTTTTTCTGGCTTGTTTTAAGGGTTTATCTTTTTGGTGTTGTTTATCCTTTTTAAGATTTGTTAGGATTTCTGAATTTGAAACTTTCATCAATTCTGGAAAGTGGTCAGGCATTATCTCTTGAATATTTATCCTGTATCCTTTATTATTTCCTTGGGAAGGCTAAACATAGGAAATAGGCACTCTCATTCTATTGATGATGTCTCTCAATTTTTCCTTCATATTTTTCATCTCTTTATCTCTCTGTGCTGCATTCTGCATAATGCCTTCAGATCTTCTAGTTAACTGTTCTCTCTTCAGGTGTGTCTAATCAGCTGCATAATCCACAGACTGTTTTTATTTCCAATTATTATATTTTTATTTCTAGACAATCTGTTTTGCTTTTTTTAAAGTCTAGTTCATTGTATTACAGTATCTTATTACTTAGTCATTGATACTTACATATTTTTTTCTCATAGTAAAACTAATAAAGGAATGTTTTAATCATTGAAATAAAAGCCATAATCTCATCATGCAAGAGCAACTGTCTTCTTCCAGTCTTTTTTTTTTTTTTTTTGGGTTTTAAATAGTTTTCAAAATACTGTACTGTTTCCTGCTGTGTTTGCTTAACATATGACATAAGCATTTTCCCATTAAAATTCTGTAAGTTTAAAATAAATAAAAAATAAAAAGAAATATCCTTTTTCTTTTCAAAAATAGTAAAGCTATAAAAATTTTTCACAAACAGTAATAACAGTATCATATACAATATGTGTTCAGTACATAGACAATATGCATGTGTACATTATACACAATGCATTAAAATGTTATATTACTTAAAGGATATTTTACAGAACAATAGAACTGATACAGTGAAACTTGTTTCATAAGAGAAGTCAATTGAATCTTTCTGTAGCAAATTATTGCACAATTATGGCTTTAGACAAAAGTTATAAGTCACAAGTTCTTATGTTTTGGGTCATGTTGTAGAATATATTCCAAATGAATAATGGCGGAAAAAGTGCATGACATCATGCTTCATGTTACGGCATAAAAATGTTAACTATTTTAACATATATAATAAAAATGTTAACTATTTTAACATATAACCATGATCAATGATACAATTAAGACCTATGCTACATCATATATACAGTTATTATTATAAAAAGTTACATATTATGCCACAGTACTAAAAATAAAATATATTCTTCTCAAATAGTGAAAAAAATTCTCTATGAAAAATTCCAATATCTAAATTATTTATACTCTGATCCTATTGCTTACTGTTTTTGTGGAATCTTTCTCATGGAGGCTTATTTCCTTGGTTGCTTTCATGGGGTTCTGAGATCAGATTTTAAAAAACTTTTTCCTTAAGGTTGGGTGCAATGGTTTATACCTATAATCTCAGCACTTTGGGAGGCCAAGGCAGGCAGATCATCTGAGGTCAGGAGTTCCAGATTAGCCTAGGCAACATGGTCAAACCTTGTCTCTACTAAAAATATAAAAATTAGCTGGGTGTGGTGGTGTGCACCTGTATCCCGAACACTAAGGAGACTGAGGCAGAAGAATCACTTGAACCCAGGAAGTGGAGGTTGCAGTGAGCCAAGATCATGCCACTGCACTCCAGCCTGGAACAGAGTAAGACTCTATCTCAAAAAAACAAAAACAAACCACCTTTTTTCTTAAAATTATGTGAGACCTGGGTTAAATGGAGTTAAAATGTTTTCCTCTACCTAAGCTCTGAATTTGCCTCTGCTGGGCGTCTGGGGTACTACCAGATTGGTTAGCCTTATATTCTCAACATGGCTTTTGTCCAGATAACAGACTACACAGTTGCAAATTTGCACACTTAATGTGAGGTTTCATTTTTGTTCATAAGTTATTAAGAGAGCATTTTCCCCCTTTCCATCCAAGGCAAAGTCAAGACTGCCAAGTCTCCTTACTGTCTTCCTTGGAGGTTAGGGTTTTGTCATATTACCCTTTTACTGAGCATGTCACTTTTAAAAATCCAAGTCTTATTCTGGTTACCTAAACTGATTTTTCACCTAGGTTTCTTCTCTTGTCTCTAGAACATGGCACTTTAAAATGGAAGTTGTGAATTACCAGTGAACCCAGATCAGCCTCTGGATATAACACTTACCTGCCTCTCCAGATTTGTGATTTCTCATTGTTCTGGGCTCATAAAGAATTCTCTTATATATTTGCCAACACAGACAATCATTTTTAAGAAGTTTTCAAAATATTTTACTCTGCATTTTAAATAGCTGTGTATTAGGTTTTTGTGGTTTTTAAAGACATTAATTTTTCCACAATGTCAGAAAAGTAAGTTCTAGCTTAGTTCCAATTATTTATTATTCAAACAAGAGCAAGATATACATGTTATTCCATCACAATAAAACAAAAAACAAAAACAACAAAAAACCCAGATATGTAATAATGTAACCACATTATTCTTTAACAACTTATTTTAACACACAGGTCCCCATTTTTCCTTCATAGTAGAAAACAACATTGTGATTCAAAGTAAAATCATTCACTTCCACATTAAAGCTTATTCTCTCTGGGGTAAAGTTTCAAACATTTCATGATCATCTGTACGATTCATTCCTCCACATGCTATATGGCCTGAAATTAAGGCTCAATATTATATGCTGCTCCAACATCTGGTAAGATTGGGAAGGTTTTGAGTGGCCTTATCACAAGTTTTTCTTCCCATTTTACTCCAGTGGATGAGATATCCTAGTCAAACAACCCTCTTTGTCAGAGGGACCCAGCACAGTTCCTGCTTATCCCTGAGTAATAGGTTTCAGTTCCCTGAAAGCCCACAGAATTATTCAAACAAGCCCGTCATGTCCTCTTGTGGGAACCCAGGGGTGCCACGCCCTCTTGTTACTGTTATTCCTGCAGCCCCTGGTTGTTCACACTATTCCTGGTTACAACCCCCATGTGCTCCTCCGTGGCCTGCAGTGCTCCTCTCCTTGGGAGGTGAGTATGTGTGACCAGTAAACTGCTGTGGATCTCATTTGTCCAATGTTGGGTGTTTGTTGGGTGTCTTGGCATCTCTGAATCTCCAGGACAGGAATCTTTCCTTCACTGATGGGTTGGACAGAAAGCAATACAATCCACTGGTGTTATGAACCATGTGACATGCCCAGCCATTTCTGAAGGCACCTACTCAGCTAAAATTAATTGTTCTTTGGCTATTTGGTTCTGAGGTATGGCAAGGCTACATGAGACAGAACTGCTAATTGCTGATGGGCTTGAGCTATGGCCTATGTGGCACTGTAGTATGCCATCTCTTTTTACTCTACAATGCTCTTGTCCCCAAGATGAAAATGGTTGTTAACTATACCCTGGTATGACATGCTGTCAGGTTCAGCCTGTGTTTGGCAGGTGATCTCTGAGGCATCAGCTTATAAATGCAATGAGAAAACAGTGCCTTAACCAGTCAGTTCTTCAGTCCTGCTTACCAGAGCTCAGGCTAGAGCTCTCTGGTCACCATGTCTAGCCTGGTGAATGTCACTGCCTGTTTGGGTCAGCAATACAGACATTGCTTGTAATGGTACACCCATGGGACAGGCACAGAGACAGCCCTGTGTGAGGTTTGTGGGAAGGAAGGTGACACCCCATGGAGAATGGAGCATGGTATCCTAGTTGTGATTGTTGTTCATGCAAAGGTAGTGACCTTTCTGGTCTCTGCTGCTGCTTCCGGAGCTGCTGTTGCTTTTGCTCTCCTGACTCCGAAGGGTATTGAGGTGCACATCCATGGTAGCCTGTGGCACAGGTGCTAATGAAAAAAGAAAAGGGTGGGGAGAAGAAGGAGCATTTGGTACTCAAATGATCTCCCAATGCAAAACCCACAGCCAATATGCCTGGGCTCAGCACTGCTGCCTACCAGCAAACCAAATGGCCAATCCTGCAATTGTGGACCTGCTGGCCCTATCTGAGCCATAGACTAATGACTTCACTGGATATAGACCTCAACCTTGGAGAGATTGACTCACACTCCCTGGAGGAAGGGGCAGCCACTTCTGAGAAAGGCCACTAAGCTCCTGAATGTTTCCCCATATGTACCCAGAAGCTCTGCACCACAGATGATTGTACAGAAACAAACCGAAAGCTCCAATTTCACCTAGCTACAAACTCAAAATATTCTCAAGGAATTTGTGCAGAGAAAGAAAGAAAGAAAGAAAGGGAAAACATCCATGAGACAGAAAATGTGGGGCAATGATAGCAGGAGACAATTTTGGTCTATTGAGTCTGGGTTATAAACCTAGCTTTCTTTCCCTGTACCACTCTGCTTACTATGTCTCTGTTGCAATAAAGATCCTAATCTTCCAGGTTATAGAGAAATACCTATGTTGCCCTTGTGGCACTGGGTACCCCCATGGCACCATTAATTCAAACCCAACTTAAGCCCGGGGTCTTTACACCATATAAATCAACCATTGCTATGGGAGAAACCCCTAACCTTGATGATACTAATTTGAAAGAAGAAACTTATAAATATCATCAGCATGAAGATGATCCCTCACCACCACCCCACCACCAAATATGTCCAGTGACCACCACCACTGGGAAAAAAAAAGAATTAAAAAAAGCAAAGCAAGAAACAAAGAACAACAACAAAAGCCTGGGTAGTGGGGGAGGAGGAAAACCACCACCACCACCACCACCACCACCACCAAGAAATGCACCAATTGGCAAATCTTCATGGTTTCAACTGGCAGTAGGATTCAGATTACAGTTATGACCAGGGATCTTACTAATTTAAACATGGTATCCCCCATAATATTAGGGGAGTGATGGAATACAAAAGAGGACAAAGAGATATGCCTCATCTTAATCATCAGAATTACTGTCTTGCCCAAATTCCCCGTCATGGTCATAGCAATCATCACCCCAAAATATCCCACAATAGACATGGACGCTCTGACCCAATGAAAAATAAATGGAAATTAGATTAAATCTTTGACACTTATAAATTGGCTTGACAAAACGGGAACTCATGAGTCTTCTGCCTCCAACCCAAGTTAAAATACTTATTAACACAGCTCAATGTAATTTAAAACATGGCCTTTGAGGATTAAAACTTGTTATGTGTAGCTGGGCATGCTGGCACATGCCTGTAATCCCAGCTACTTGGAGGCTGAGGCAGGAGAATTCCTTAAACCCGGGAGGCAGAGGGTGCAGTGAGCCAAGATTGCACCACTGCACTCCAGCCTGGCAACAGAGCGAGACTTGGTCTCAAAAATAAATAAATAAATAAATAAAAGTAAAAATAATATTTAAAAAACAAAACAAAACTTGTTATGTGACAGCTATAGAGTGCAGGGGTGATTATCCCCACTGCTTCTCCATTTAACAACCCAATTTGGCTTATTTGGCCTGTTATTAAACTTGGAACAAATAAATGGTGCAGCACAGTAGACTACTGCAATCTTAATGCCATGGTCCCATGCAATTCAGGCCCCTATTCCCAACAAACTGAGTATTGAAACTTCAGACTCCATCCAATCAGCAACTGATAGGTATTTTGCTACTACAAATTAGGCTAATATAACCCATTTGGTGCCAACGTCAACAGCTTAAAAGTCACAGTTTGCTTTTACCTCCCACGAGACACAATATATTTTTACCAGGCTACTCGAGGGACACCTCAGCAGCCTTGCCACTGCACACAATCTTTGTAGGCAAGATCTTAATGACATCCACCTTTCTCCAGGAACACAGGCATATTACACTGATGAAATCCTTCTCCAGGAAAATTTGTTTGACATATTCATTAAGAACATACAAATACTCACAAAGGAACTCACACAAAAAGGGTGGATCATTATCTCACACGTACTACAAAATCTTGTTACTTCTGTTAAATTCTTAAAAGTTATTTGGTAAACCAAAAGCTGCTCCATCCCTGATACTGTCAAAAAACAGTTATTAACCCTCTCAGTATCCACAAATTTAATACAAGTCCAACATCTTTTAGTCTTTTTTGGGTTCTGGAGACAACATATTCTTTTGCAAAATTTCTTTTATCTCACTAATGTTACTTATGGATTGCCCATCTTAAAGGGGAACCTCCTCAACCAAAGCTGTAGAAGCTGTCCAAAATGAAATCAATAGGCACTCCAGTTAGTGCCCTCAGAGGCCTCTGCAACCTTGTCTCATGCCTCCTGGAGTCTGTGGGCCACTGCTGGTGATCATAAGTGGCCCATGGGCTTCTGATGCAAGTAACTGCCTTTCCTGGCCTTGTACTATATTTTGAGCCTGTGACCCTCTGTACCCAGCTACTGTAATGCCTTGTAATGCATTGGAGTACTACCCCATGAATTTGGCATGCCTATGAGACCTCTTTGCTACAAGATGGAGTCAAACTTGGGCATTCTGGCATACTCTATCTGTAGAAGGTGGTGGCCTCCTCTACCATCAGTCCCTTGCCAAAAAACCATGGTACTAGGGGAAGTCACCCCGTTCTCAGAGTCCTTGGCTATCTGGAGAGCCCCCTGGGATCAACTGAATGCACAGCAATATAAGGCCATACACTTTACCAATGACATGCCACAATTATACATGATAGAATTCAGTGGAGAGTTGATGCTATTAATTCCTTAACCACGATGTTCCTGGTAAGGAACACAACCCAAGGGTCAGCACAAGTGGCACACTGCAGGCATTCATCTTGGATGTCCTGGTCATTTGGCCTCACATGTATATTTTTACAACTCTTAGGCCATTGCCTATGAGTTGCACTCTGAACTCTGTGAATCTCTTGTTTCACAGATACCCAAAATATAAACCAAATTAACATATTTCTCTACATATCCTAAGGCCATAATACAAGGCCTCAATAGGATATTTCGTATTTCATTTGGAGTTCTAGACACTAGATGCTTACCAAGGCACTCATGTTGTGCCTCAGAATACACAGTGGAATCTTGAATAAGGCTTTCCATTGAAATGCAGCCTCCCCATAGGCCCCAGGTAGTCAGCCCCAGGCAGCTAGTTTAATTGATAAGCCTAATGAGTTTTCGAAGAACTATTTAAATAACAAGGAGACAAATGTCCCTCTGTCCCCTTGATGTCACCAAACCCAAAATATTTTTTCAGTAATTCACCTGATATGAAAACTTTAATTCATTTTTGAATCTTAAAAAGATCATACAATTGAATAATATGCATAATTTTGAATAAAATTTACTTTTTGTTCTTTATACTTACTATTATGTAATATATATATATATATAATATAATCATGTATATAATATATGTAATCTGTGAACATGCACACATTCAGATGCCATAAATTCTTTTTTATTTTTTTATTGTACATGGGCCCTGGGATACATGTGCACATCCTGCATCCAGCAGGATTGTTGCATAGGTACATACATGCCATGGTGGTTTGCTGTCTCCTCGTCCCCATCGCCTACATAAGGCATTTCTCCTGGTGTTATCCCTCCCCATCCTCCCAGCCTCCATCGCTGTCCCTCCTCTCTCCTCCCCTCCCCCACCACCGAGCCCTGTGAGTGTTGTTCCCTTCCCTGTGCCCAGTGTTCTCATTGTTCATCACCCGCCTATGAGTGAAAACATGCAGAGTTTTGTTTTCTGTTCTTGTGTCAGTTTGCTGAGAATGATGGTTTCTAGGTTCATCCATGTCTCTACAAAGGACACAAACTCATTGTTTTTTATGGTTGCATAGTATTCCATGGTGTATATGTGCCACATTTTTTTTTTGCCCAGTCTATCATCGATGGGCATTTGGGTTGGTTCCAGGTCTTTGCTATTGTAAACAGCACCGCAATTGACATACGTGTGCATGTGTCTTTATGATAGAATGATTTATAATCCTTTGGGTATATACCCAGTAATGGGATTGCTGGGTCAAATGGAATTTCTACTTCTAGATCCTTGAGGAATTGCCACACTGTCTTCCATAATGGTTGAACTAATTTACACTCCCACCAACAGTGTAAAAGTGTTCCTACTTCTCCACATCCTCTCCAGCATCTGCTGTCTCCAGATTCTCTAATGATTGCCATTCTAACTGGCATGAGATGGTATCTCAATGTGGTTTTGATTTGCATTTCTCTAATGACCAATAATGATGAGCACTTTTTCATATGTTTGTTGGCCGCATATTTATCTTCTTTTGAAAGGTGTCTGTTCATTCTGGATATTAGCCCTTTGTCTGATGGGTAGATTGCAAAAATTTTTTCCCATTCTGTTGGTTGTCCGTTTAATGATTGTTTCTTTTGCTG